ACTTTGTCCCCTAAGTCTTGTGTTACAAGAGAAAAATGAATTATCTTTTTCCTGTTGACCTTATTTCAGCAATTTATGATTTTATGACCTCTAATTGTATCTTCTTTCAATTGTTTCTTAATTCATTTTAATCTTATATCATATTGAAGCCATAATATACCTTTAAATATCCTTGTTGCCTCTCTTTTATTTTTTTTTAGTTTTACTAAATTACTTTTGGGATGGTGTGGATGGAATTCAAGGATGAAACAAGAAGGTATAGAGTGGCATTAAACTGTTCTCTATTTTCTATTTCTTAACTAGTAATTCCTGATTTTTACTCCCTTTTTGCTGATGCCAAGTATTAAGCATATATGTTCATAGAATTTTAAAATACCTTTCTGAGGAATAATAGCTGATTTTGACTATGTCTACTTTGCTCAATGAAGTAGAACCACAGAAAAATTCCTGTCTCCAAAAATAAATAATATATAAAAAACTAATATATGCAATGTAGAGTTGGCATCATCTGTAGCAGATTTTTTTTCTTTAAAAACTTCCAGAGATTGGGAACAAGTTAAAAAATAAGCAGTTTGAAAAGTCAGGGTTCCAATGCTTCATCTCATTACTCCTTCTTTAAACTACCTAAAATGTATATTTAACTGTAAAAATACAATTTTAGAGTCTATCACTATGTTATATGTTGTTGGAATTGCTTTTCTCCATGCCCATCATTCAAATTCATCATCATTTATTGTGGTCAGCTCATTTTATCACAATTTTGATTACCTGAAAAGTGTTATAAAGTTAGAACTCACTACTCTTGCTATTCATCCCATTTTATGCATCACTTTATAGGTATGATAAACGGAGCAACTTTCAGTACCTATTGCCATAGGGCTCCAATAATGCTTCTCTCTATCGCAGAACGTGTCAGACTTTACCCTTTGTTTCCCGTAATCTCATTACTAATCTATGAGAAAGCAATACATATTACATCTAATACATTTTATAATAGTTTAATTCCCTAAAGAGTCTTAGGAGAGTAACTTTCAAAGTCAAAATCTTTTTGAAAACAAGTTAACAAACAAGTTAATAGTTTGGTAAGTCCATGTTTGATTTCATTTTGAACTCTTGATTGAAATAATTTAGTTCTATCCATTTTATTGATTTGTTCTACAGTATACTATTAATACATCAACATATGGCTTTTCCTTAGATTCTCCCCTATAAAGACAGAATGTGGAACAAGAGTATCCCTAATCTCCTTGATTGTGAATGCTGTTACAAAATAATTCATTTAGCTTTTCTATTATGCTTTATCTTTCCTTTAGCGTTCCATTTTTGAGATGATCATCTCTCAGCCTTGTCAGCTTTCTGGCAAATTTTCTATTTCTGATGTACTGGAAGAAGTTTTTAATATTAGTTTTAATGCCTATAGCAAGTTGTTCATGAAAACCCGTTTTGTATAGTCTTACTATAGTTCCACTTTTGCCTTGCCAGATTTTGTGAAAGAGAATATTTTATTTTTTTGTAATCTGCTGTGTTAGATAGGTAACCATTTCAACTTCTTATTTATTTATTTATTTATTGCAGTCCTTTTAAAAGTCATTGTTAACTTGTAGGCAATTACTCTAAACCACTGTAGACTTTCTCTTGTAACTGTTTTACTTTATGAACATGTTCTAATGAGATTCTAATTTTGTCACTATCTTTGTGGTAACTGAATACACCACCAAGAGGATTCTACTACTAAGCTTAAAGATTTTCTGAAAATAAATGCTTGCATGATTGGCTAGCAATAAATAAAACTCTGATACTTCTAGGAAATTGTTGCACACATCCAAGCAGTGTAGATAACATGCTGCGAACTAAGCTTATCTGGAATACATAAAAGAAAAACTTGTTAAAAAGGGTCAGCAAATATTTCTGAACTATATAAAATGAAAACACAGATTTGGGAAGAAATGTGCTTAGAAATGAATAACAGTAAAATAAATCTTGGAGTATGGCAGACAACAGTTTCAACTGTAATAAACAACACACCTATTAACCATATTTATGGGGAAGTAGAAACACGTGTTGGCAGCTGACATTCCCACTGTACATCACCAGTAGGAATTGCAGTTGCCAATGCCTACATTTAAGTATTTTCTCTCTCAGTATTCCTTACTAGCTCTTTTGGATAGAGAAAACTCTTCCCTTTCTTCCATTCTGAATTTAGTGCCTTTGGGGTAAGATCTATCTCACTGAAATTTGTTCATCTAGCAGTAAAGAATTTAAATTTAAGTAAGCTGTCTAGAGCGAATGGCAGAGAGACAGACTTTGCACAGAGTCCTCAGCTAAAACATTTTTTTTTGCCCTATTAGCAATCCTGTCGATCAATCTGTCATTCTCTATGTGATTGTCTCAGGAAGGCAGTAAGGTTTTTTTTTGGCGGGGGGGAATCTTGAAGGATCTTGCAGGAACAGTCATGGAGAGTCAGAGGGGACCTGGGATGTGATGCAGAAGCACATATTTTTTTCTGGCCTCTGAAGATCCCTTAACATCTATTGCTTTTGGAAATAAAGTTGTTTGTTTAATGAGTGACTAACCTTCTTCCTCCTCACCTAAACCTCTTTTAGGTTCTCATCTTAATATCAGTCAAGTAAAATAGTCCTTCTCGTAATGTCAACAAAAATTGGACCAGGGAATAACAATTTATTCTCTTATGTGCAAGCAGTCCAGAGATAAAAGGACTAGGCCTTTTACTCATTTATCATACAGAGTTATTTTCTATTTCATTTCTCTTATGAAAAAATGTTTTGCAGACAGCGAATATCAAGTATGATTATGAATAATATAGTCAAATATTCTTTCATTCACAATCAGTTTAAGTAATTGTGAGTATCATCTGATAAATTTTTAAAGGCCTCTTTTTTCACATTTCTGCATGAGGCCTAAAATCTTCCTTCCACTAAGGTCATGTCGTGTTTCATTACATTTACGGTGCAATTACATCAATTTACAATTATTACATTACAATCCCATGACACAAAATCATTCTCTGTGACATAAAGTGTCTAAAGAAAAAAGGGTCTATTGTTTTCAAACATAGTCAAAAACTGCAAGAAGATAACGAGAGATTAGATATTTTAATTATTCTTTTACATAATCTAAAAAAGCTACTCTTCTACATGGAAGAGGAGTCAAACTAAAGAGCCTTCTAATTTTTTTTGAAAATGGAAATATGAAATATTAAGGAGACGATTACCAGCTCTGCTTAGTAAGATAAGAACTTAATTCGGTGCTCTGTTGAAAGATTTTTTTTAAAGAAAAACAAGCAAAGTATTCAAACAAGCCTTTAGTAAATGCACTATAAAATTTTAATTCCCATTTCTCCTTATTAAAGGTATGGGGAAATATTGCAGCCATCTGAGAAATGGATTCATGTAAAACATTTCACTCATGTCAAAAAGATAAAACATGATAATGTGCACTTGGTACCGAAGCTAAATGCAAATTCTGTTGAGACTTTTGCCTTTTTCAGCTCATTGTAATGTTTCCTGATAAATTTTAGCTAGGAATAGACTTGAATAAGAAATGATATGGGCTTCTGCCAAAATCTATGAAATGAATTTTTACATTGTCACCTTACTTAACAATAATTTCTAAGATAAGCTGCTGCATTAAAGACGCTGACTATATTTTCTTCAAGTAAGACATATTTTTCACAAATTTGCATTACTCACATTTTTCAGCAGAATTTGGAATTAGGAACATATTTCCAGAAATTCAAATGGGTTTGATTCTCTTTTTACATTGTTTGAATCACTGACATTATCAGGACAGATTAGCTTGAAAATTTAGGCAGATTCAGAATGCTGGTGTTAGGCCTAAATGTAGCTCCTTGGGCATCTCAGGGCAATTCTGGGTACTTAAGTCCTTAGAAACTTCAGATCAGTAGAAAGATCTACAGGCATAGAATACTTCCGGGGGTTAATTCTAGTGCAAGACAGACAGTTTCCTTTCACAGACTATCTGAAACTAGGGTCCCTGAGCTGCTCTTTCTGTCTACTGATAACCTAACAAGACCAGCGAGAGTGTGCTGTGGTGTCATCTTGCTGTGATTATTTTCAGTAGAGGTGCTCAGGCTTACATATTCAGTATCTAACAGAAAGCCGGGGTGAATGAGCATTGAAACCAGGCATTAGGCTCAGTACATCCTTCAAATCCTCCTGGTGCAGGTGTGCCAGCATGTGCTTAGACTGCACCAAAGGGATGAGTTGTAAAAGAATTACAGCCAGCATGTGGGAGAAGTTTTAAAATACTATTTTATGGATAACAAATTTGCATTAGTTGTAAGAGTGTAAGCTCCTTTATTTTTCCCCCTGGAGTATAGGAGTTTTGAGTTTGTCCTTTTCTATTTTCTCCTTTATATGGGCTTCAGCAAGTGAAGGGTTTTAATACATGTTGAATATCAGTGAATTGATTTTAACAAAAATCTGTGAGGAATGAAGCTATATTAATCCTGATGATGTAGATTATTCCAAAATCTGTCAAGAGTCCAGTACTATCTGACTCGATTCTTTTAGAGATTCCACACATACAGTGCAATGTTTTATATAAAAGTTTATTTTTGAAGAATTTGATGTTACATGGGATTTTTGATTTAGCAGAATGATTCAGCAATATACTGAAATCACAACACAAGTGTATACACTTAATAAAATCCAGCTAGACAGTTCAATCGCAATACCAACGTGATTGCCGTTACCGGTTTCAAATATGCTCACCGTCACGACGCTGGGCGTCCCCAGTCACCGGGAAGAAATACGTGGGTTGATGCCAGCTCAAGTCCGTTGCTCGCTTCGAAATTTCTTTGTTAGTTGTTGAGTTGCTCTTTATTTTATACTCTCTGTTGGACTGATCCACATATACCCTTCCCCAAGCTGGTCTGACTAATCTCAGGGAGACATTCACATTCCTTTGGTCAGCTCACGAAAAAAACAAACAAACAAACAAACAAAAAAACCACTTACGCCAGGTCCAGGTAACCGATATGGCTGCTTATCTAAGACGAAGGACACCCTTTGGTCCCCTTTATCTTGAGATAACATCAGTTCTCTGTGCAACAGCTGTGGTTAGCTCTTGCTAACCATAAATCCTTGAGATTTATGCCCTCTGAGTCTTCTCCCATTGTAGGGGTTGCTGGTCAGTCACAAAATCTGATAGGTGAACCCGTAACTCTAATGCAAGGTCTGTTAGCAAATAAAGAAAATGAAAAAATGAAAAAGTTTAAAATAAATTCTTACCATGATAATATACTTGTTTATTTCATTTTACCACACAAAAATAGATGTAATGTGTACAGCATGTCTCCTGTTTATCAATTTTCCTGTCTTGGGACCATCTAAGTGAAATCCGTGGAAAGAAATCTCACTGCTTTCAATGGTCTTTGGCACACTCCTGGGCTGAAATTCAGATTCTAATCAGTAAAATATGCTTGATTTGAAGGGACTGATATTTAACTTCTCATATTGTGCAAGATGCCATCTTCTGCCACCTCTGCTGTTTATGATATATCACTAATGTGAATCTTAAATCTTTAGAATTTTGTCAGTTACCTGAATTACAGAGGCATCGTGCAAGCCAGTAAAAGTGACTTTAGCATTAGCAATGTGTCCAAAAGCTATGGCTGTATGATTAGATCCATAGCAATCCTCACTTTCTCAGTCCAGCACATGCTCCATACATTACCGGGCTTCATGCCTGATTGAGATTGCACCAGCCTGAGCTCCCTTGGATGGCGGCCAACCAGGAGCCACAATACCTGGAAGATGCCTCTGATTTGGGCAGTAAAGGTGTAAAAAAGACATGTGACTAAGCTCTGAAGGTGAGTTTAATTTCAACCACTAAGATCACTGGCATTTTTCTTCAATAAGGACAACATATTTAAATTGCATCAAAGCAAATAACTTCTAAAATAATAATGGATGAGTGTCCTGCGTAAACTTTCATTTGTATTTCTCCTAAGTTAATGCAATGGCCTTTGAACAGCCCATAGGTATGAGTAAGCACAGTGTTTTCGGAATAAATATGTTAGTAGTGAACAACTCCCATAGAAAGTAGATTTTGAAAGGGCAATACATGCAGCCTAATTCCTACATTTCTGTTGTTACTGGAGAGCAAAGACCAGGATTTTCTGTTTGCTAGTTATTTATTGTAGGCTCTGAATCTTGCTAGCAAAAACTTGAATCTTGTGTTTCAGTGTTTTCTTGAGAAAAATTTTATTTACAGACAAATAGCTAATAGCTTTGTTGTAGTGATTTTTTTTCTGTGTTTCTAATATGCGATCCTCATGGTATAAGATTTGAATGCAGTGACCTGAATGGAAGCAGAATGTGAGATTAAGAGCAGATCTGCTCTTGTAAAAGACAGAAAGGAGGAAAAATAGACATTTTTGATTAAGATTAGCATTGTTAGAATAAAATGAACAGTACAGAAATATTAGCTAACATTGCTTTTGTGAAACTTTTGTAATTACAAGGGAAAAATGATGCATTACCTGGATATTTTAAAAATATTTTTAAAAATTAGATATTCATACATGATGATTTCTATATCCCTTCAGGTTTAATTAGTTTGTCAGCTCTTACTTGCAAGTTTTCAATAAGATAGATACTGAACTTTTTGGAGCTTCTGCTAGAAATGATTTTGTAACTAATTGGCTTTTTTTTTTCAGAAAAGCAAGAATAAGCACAAGCAAATAAACTATGCATCTCACTTTCTTGACTTTGTTATTTATTTTGCAGAATGATAACTCAGTGGTGGCATCCAGTGGACCCACTGGTACTTCAGATTGAATCTTGGAAGCTTACTGATGACAGGCCCACTCAGCTGATAGAATAAATTGCTTTTCACTAGTGGGAGTTTGCACTTTCATAGGATAAAACTATCAGTGAGATAGAATTCCTCCTGTTGCTTTTGGTTAAAGTTGAGAAAATACAGTTAGAAAATACTACACAATGTTCTCTTCATTAAAAAAAAAAATAGCAGTCTCCTGAAACAAAGGTCTCTTCCACGGCAAACAGATCTGATGTTGTGATATAAGTGGGGATGCTGGACTGTCACAGGAAACAAATATTTTCACTACTTTCTTGCACAGTTACATCTGTGACTGACCACAATTAATGCTGAGTGAGTCTAGCTTCCCAGCAATAGATTATAGAGATATCAGTTTAAGTTCAGGTTGTTTGTTTAAAAAACAAACAAACAAAATTAAAAAAAAAAACAAAAAGAACAACTCTCCCAACAATTTTCACATTTATACAAAGCTCACAATATGAATTAAAAGGAAAATCTTACATATCAAGTCTTACAAGAAAATCAAAATGGTTAGTGTTTCCATACCAATTTCCATGGTATGGAAATTGTGCTCTCTCATAAGAAGAATATATGTTAGATCAGGAAAAGAAGAGCAAAACAAGCAGAAAGAGACGTTCCTAAAAAAAGAATTAAATCAGCCAAATCATATGCTGTCTGTATGGAAGATATGTCCAGACTGTTGAAAAAATATAGCGAGTTTGTAACCGAACTGGAAAGTCCATCTAACCTAGTTTGTAGCTGATGTGAGTGGTTGTATGAATGGTTAATCTCACCATATCTGTAAGATTAGAGGTAAATATTTTTTCCAATGCCATTGATTAAACAAGCTGATTAAAAAAAAAAACAAAAAACTCTTTATCCCTGTGTATCATTGCCCAAAAGCTGTTAAAAAGAAGAAATAGATGTTTCCAGTTAGACCAATGCGGCAATACACATATTTGTTTAAGACGAGACATTGTAACCTGATCTCATACTGTTTGTGATATTAAACACCAAGATATTTGAGAGCTAAAGCTACAGCACCTGCTGAAGTTACAGATCATGTTTTATAAGACACAGTTTCAGCAAGAGCACTGAGTTTCTGCTGTTCCTCCTATTTCTGGCACTCCTTTCTGTCTCAGTGATGCAATTTGCTGTCCTGTAATTGTGTCAGCAAAATCTTAATAGAATCGTGAAGTAAAGCAGATTACTAGAGTGATATGGGCAAAAATTAACTTTTACAAAATAGGCTTACTCTTTACTTGAATCAGTTCAGTGATGTGATTAACAGTGGCCCATAAAAATGCACAGTAATGCCACTGAGAGAAGAATTAACCTTATGGGGCCACACTGAAAAATGTCCTCTTTAGGCAAGAACTTCCTAGTTTGTTTTCATTGTCAAACTACACCCTTGAGGACTGGGATATGACAGCCACCTCTTGGCCTATAAACATGTAGTAAGGACTGTAGTACTTTTTTAAATCAAAACTTTGAGCTATGTCATGAGTTAGAGGCATATATGCTTGTCTAGAAGATGCATCTTTTGTGGAACAATATGAATAGGATCATGTAATATACGTTTACAAGTGTGATACACAGACAGCCATAATAAAGGTCTCAGACAGTATCAAGCCTTTCCAGCTGTGCTATTAACTCTTTAGCAGAAGTACATGGTGATGGTACTTTATCAATATATGGTTATAAAAATCAAAACATCAGAAATAGTGCTTCTGCAGAGAAATTATATACTATAAACTCACTCTTTAAAGGCAGGCAGAATTTTCAATTCATCTTAAGAAAGAAGTTAGAATGCCTCTGTCAAAGAAATCAAGTTTGCAGACAGACAGTTATTTTCCTATGACTCATTTTTCTCTTCCTGTTAAAAATATTGTATTTTTTGTTGGTTTTTGTTTGCTTATTTTTTCCTTAAAGAAGACTTAAGCAGCATTTCTCAAAAGCTCTGGCCAGCTAGACCCATATCCTTTGACTTATTCAAATAAATAAATCGGATCAAAATCTGTTTTCTGTACTTCAGGTCAATGAGCATAGCACATCTTATTTCTATGCAGATAAACACTCTTACCCAGCAAAGAAGCACAGCCACAGTTAGATGGCTCCTACAAATTTTTTCTAAACTGTACCTGGGAACTGTTTGGGAAATTATCTTGCCTGACCCAAAATCCCACTAAGAATATTCTAGCAATTATTATTAGTGATTCTTCTTGGTCTATTTACACTTGTGTCCTGACTCTGCTTAGTATAGATTTAGCTTATTAGTCTTGCCAGTACAGTACCAAAGTAAGTACAGCATGCAGAATTCTGTGGCTGAATGATTTCTCCCTGATGATAAAGGAATAGTAAAAAAAAGAAGGCTAACACAATTTTATAAGGTTTTTAAACTATCTTCATTATTGACATCTATGACAATATGTGATGTTGACACACACACATACATTGCAATGTTTGAACACTGAGCACTTCTGTTGTTTTTTGTCTGACCATTCTCAAAGTAAGTTAGACATTTGCCAACAAATATCAAACTAACCAACACTGACAGACTTTGAGCTTTCTCTCCAGCTTTTTGTTTTGCTTTGTTTTGTTTTGATGTGATCAAGTTGCTAGGGATTTTTTTTTTAATTATTATTATATTTTTATGAGTGTCAAAAAGAAAACCTTGGCCGTGTTCTGCAAAAGATGCAGGAAGTATCTTTATACTACCTAATCTACCCATACCATTATGTTTATATGTCTCCTATTTGCTAGGATAAGATAAAAGCTGGTTGGCTGAGTTTCAGTCTGGAAACTTGTAGCTAATGAGTTGATTTTAAAAATAGAGGATAATGAGCTCAAATATAAGAATTCTCCCTTTAATTAATCTTTTAAAGATTAATATTCCATTAATATACTTACAAAACATAGACATCTGGATCTCAAATGCTATTAGATGGTCACACAGAAGAAGCAGTCAGATATTAATCCATGTAAACACAGATATTTAAAGGTAAAGTACTCACATTCATTATGTTTTCTTTCACAGCAGACAACTTCAGCACATTTTACATGGAGCTCTATCCTAAATCCACTCAGCAATAGATATACATATGGCACTCAGTATAGCTATTGTCTATAAATTTTACACTGGTTACTCTTTCAAGAAATATTCTGCACCAATAGTTTTTCATTTGTAGCTCACTACCAGCAAGCACTGGACAACATTTTAGATGTTTGAATCCTTAAATATGCAAGACAGAGA